TTTCCAAAGCCTGCCCATCTTCCAGTATGGAGTGTAGGTCTACGTCCAGCTCATTTGTCTCAGTCACTTTATCTCGTTTGTGGACATGTACTGATATGGCTATCTGTTTCTGTTTTTTTGGGGAATATTCAGGAGTTATCTGTGGCCTTAATACTTAGATGGGTCTGTATTTTGGTGTTTTTTTATGCTTTCTGATTGCCTCCAGGTAGATGTGATCAGGAGATGGACTTCCTTTTTCACTCATCCTCCTGAAAAATTTCAAGATGCCATTGTTGGTCGTTGTGACATAACTCAGGATTTAATTTTCAGCCTGTTTCCTTTTTAGTCTGCCACTAAATCCCCATTCAGGCCCTTTTCCTAGTGATAAACAGTTCAAGGCCAGCTGTGGCCATTTTGCATTGCCATTTGGTTTTAAGTCGAAACTGTCACTTTAAATTTCAAGGCGTTCTGTCCACATGTGTAGTAGAACCCTCCAGGGGTGGGGGTGAGGTATCCATTCACTCAGGCACCCCCTGTAGTCACCAGAATGGAGATGCACAGACATGAGGGACCAATGAACAGATACAAAAAATGTGTCCACACCTTTATCTCCGTGGTTCTGTCAGGTGTCCGTGGCTGCTCAGATCCTTTCCCTGCGTGGTCTCACCCAAGATGGCGGTGCCAGGAGCAACTGAGCATGTTGAATTAGAAAGCAATGGATTTCTTGCTTCTGCTACAAATTTCCCTACCTGTAAGCCTTCCAACCTTCTAAATATTCCTTTATATGTGGTTCAGAGTTCTGGGACCTTCCCCTGAGCCTCCTTGGTCCGGTATTCTGTGTTGTTGCTGACGGAGCTCCTCACTGTACTGCTACCTGATCTGCCATTTTGTTTGTTCTCCCGTTTACTCTTTTGGTGAAATCTTTTGATTCACATAAATTTCTGATTTTTCAAAGGTCCCAGTCATTTGTCTTATACTGTGTTTTTCATAATGTTTGATAGTGTATGTATGCCATATGTTAGAATCCCTAAGTTTATCCCTATTTTTTCATTGATGATCTTTATAGTTCTAGGTTTCACATTTAGGTCTTTAATCCATGTTGAGTTTGTTTTTGTATATGGTGTGAGGTATAGGTCTTATTTCATTCTTCTACAAATTGGCTGCAGTTTTGCCAGCACCATTTGTTGAAGAGGCTATCTCTTCCCCATTTGATGTGTTTGGGCCCTTTGTCAAAGACCAGTTGACTGTATGTGGATGGATTTACTTCTGGCCTGATGGTGCAGATGCACACTGGTGGCTGACAACAAGAAACTTGTGATTCTCTTTTGTTCCCACACACTCCTAGTGACCAGAGGCATGGCCAGCCCCCACCCTTATCCATTCCCTGCACAGTGCCTGCTGTGTCAGAGGTTGGAGCCACACTGTTGGGACTTGGGCAGCGTGTACCACCCCCACGTGTGAAGGTGTGTGAAGTCTGCCTCTTCAGACCAGCAGAATGTCCAGTGCCGGTTCTCTGCCAATCCTGGACGAGCACGAACTCTCATAACCAACCGCCTTAGGTTATCAGTCTTTATGTATTCCATTTCATTTTTGACAGCTTCCAATTTTCTTAGATTCAAACCTTCGTCACTTCCAGCAAGTAAGATTGTGTCATCTGCTTATCACAAGTTTCCTTCTTCCAGACCCTAAAAGAAGCCCTCGTAGCCTAGTAGTTTAAGCACTCAGCTGCCAACATAAAGGTTAGCAATGTGAGTGAAGTTAAAACAGGGAAATAATAGGGTTTTAAGCTTTTAAAAATCTCCTTTTTGCCATAGTGAGTTGAAATTTTTTGCTTTTACTACCTTTTATATACCAACCTACTATAAAATAGTAAACATTTGCATTAATATATTCCAGGTAATGGTTTCTCATAGTTCAGCTAAACCTTTAAGAGAGGAATATTTGATTGCTGACTTTTCTTTATCTATGCAAAGAAAGTCAGGGCCCCCTAGTAGAAAGTCTTCTGGGTGGGGTTCAGGCACCTGGTTGGTAGTTCCAGCTTTCCCCTGCCCAGGAGCAGTGCCCTCAGACAAGTCCACCCCTCCTAATAGGACACGGTGTCGTTTCCTAGGTGGTCGTTAGGACAGACTTACCCAGCTGTGGCTCTGCATCTCTGGAGCAGCTTCTCGGCCTCAGCACTGTTGACACTTGATGCTGGGTGGTTCTGTGTTGTGGGGGGGCCTACCCTGTGCACTGTAGGGTGTTTTGCAGCATCCTTGGCCTATACCCACTAGATGTAAGTAGCACCACCCCAGTTGTGACAACCAGAAATATCTCTAGACATTGTCAAATGCCCCTGGGGGGATAGAATTGCTCCCGGTTGAAGACTAAGGAGCCCTGAGGGCACAACAGTTAAGAACTTGGCTGCTAACCAGAAGGGTAGTGCTTTGGACCCACTCTGTGACCTCAGGGGAGAAAGACTGGGAATCTGCCCCTGTAAGAACCACAGCCCAGCAAACCCCACGGGGCACTTCTACTCTGTCACACGGAGTCACCATAAGTCAGAATCAACTTGACAACACCAGTAATACTGTAGACTAACAAGTCTTTTCTTTGCTTCCCCCTAGACTCTGTACTTATTAAAGGTGATGTCAGTAAGGAAGCTAGGTGGTTTTACCCCTGATGATCCAGTACACTTCCTTCCTTTAGGATCGGGTGGTAGTAAATGACCGGTGGGGTCAAAACTGTTCCTGTCACCATGGAGGATTCTACAACTGCCAAGATAAATACATGCCAGGGAGCTTGCCAAATCATAAATGGGAGATGTGCACCTCCATCGACAAGTCCTCCTGGGGCTATCGGCGCAACATGGTGATGGCAAGCATTGCCAGTGAAGAGGAGATCATTTCGGTAAGAGGCCCTCTTCATAATGACTTCTCTCAAACCCACCTTCTCATAGTGATGGGAACACTCTGGATAGATGTGTAAATGGATCGAACCCCCTGGGGCTACTGAACACACTCATACAAACATGCCCTGAGGGAATCATTCTAATTACCCTAGTGAGTTACACATACAGAGGTGTTCTTCTCAGGATTGTTCTCAATTGCACATGAAGTTTCTTTCTTTCTTATAGACTTAAAGATGTAATTAAGGAATTTTCCTTTGACCATTAAAATGTTTCTGAATGTCATGTCGGTTAAACCCTAGAGGTTTGACTAAAAAAAATGTTACGTGTTATCACCATTATCTCAACTGTGTAAAATTAAGAATGCAAAAGAATTCATCAGAAGTTAATGGTATAATGACTAGATAAATTGAATTGCTCCTTTTGTAAAATTACCCCATGTAACCCAGAACCCTAGTAGCACAGTGGGTTAACTGCGGGCTGCTAAGCAGAAGATTGGCTATTGAAACCCATCAGCCTCTCCTTGGGAGAAAGATGAGGCAGTTGCTTCTATAGTGACTGACAGCCTGGTAAGCCCTGCAGAGCCATTCTCCTCTGTCCTTAGAGTCACTAGGAGTCAGAATCCACTTGACAGCAGTGGGTTTGGGTTTTATATGTAACCTGAATTTTACTGGACTTCCTTGGCATGCACCTCAGTAAACATACACACACAAATCCCACTCCAGAAACCTAGAAGAAATGTCTCTCCGTGCACCTTGTTTTCCTGAAGTGATTGTCAGCCCCATTACACAGCAGCTCTCTTTCTCCTCCTGAGTCTCCCCGGCACCTTTTCCAGCTCTCTCCTCTTGTTCCCTGTATTTCTGTGGTGCTCCATGTGATTGATCCCTGCACTGCCAAGTGCCCTCTTTCTCAGTGTCCCAGCCCATAGGACCCTTCCTTCCCCTGCACAGAACACCACAGGAAGGACATTCTCACCTCTGACTCCAGTGGCTTTGATTGCCCATTATCATTACCCCTTAGAATTCAAGTTAATGTATTTCTCTATTTTGTAACACGGAGCTTTCCATTTTCTGTTCTGCTTTAATAATGACAAAAAATAAAGATGCTACTTTTTTAAAGTAGCATTTAAGAGTAAAGGACATTTAAGAGTAAAGGACAGTCACAGAGCAGGGAGAGTGTGCCCTAGATTCCTTTTCTTGTTTTGACTTCTCTGTGTCCTAAGTGTTCTGCCAGCTTTGGCCATCATGTTTCTGCTCTCTGCAGGAACTGGTTCAGGCAGTAAGTTTGGGTGGCAACTATCTTCTCAACATTGGACCTACTAAAGATGGAGTGATTGTTCCCATCTTCCAAGAAAGGCTTCTTGCTGTCGGGAATTGGCTGAGCATCAATGGAGAGGCTATCTATGCCTCTAAGCCATGGCGAGTGCAAGCAGATAAGAACAGCACATCTGTCTGGTGAGTCTTAGCTTCTGTTGTGTGCAGGAACAAGACTGGCCTGTCCTCAACTGTGACCTCCATGGATCCACACAATGTAAGCCAGGCTGGAAGTTGTCTTGAAGAAACCCCAAAGCTGTTCTTTCCCTGTGCAGTGTGTGGTACCAGTTAGGTTATGTCTCATTCCACCAGGATACCCTTAACTTGGGAGGCAGTGGGCTTGATAAGAAGAGAGGAACTACAAAGTGTCAGTCAGTTTAGTTGAGACTGTTACCCTGCCTTCTGTTGTTGTTAAGTGCCATCGAATCGGTTCTGACCCATAGCAACCCTTTATAGGGTTTCCAAGGAGCAGCTAGTGAGCTTGAACCACCAACCATGCAGTTCAAACAGCTTTTCAGTCTGGCTCATTAACCCACACTGGCACCCCAGGACTCCTGCCTTCTAAGATTAGTAAATTTGGGGTTGCACCATAGGATAAGCATTGGACTCCTAACCACAAGGTAGGTGGTTCAAACCCACCAGCTGCTCCTTGGAAATCCTATACAGGGTCCCTGTGAGACAGAATGGACTCGACAGCACTTAACAACAGCAGTAGCAGTGACGGACTCAAAGCCTTACAACTGGTAGCTAGTTGAAAGGGAAATGTGTAAAATGATGGGTCAGAGAGCAAGCCAGGCATCTTTGACAATGATGTGCCTTTGTTCTCAGGTATACCTCAAAAGGACCAGATGTTTATGCCATTTTACTGCAGTGGCCAGAAAATGGAGTCTTATCACTTGCATCCCCTACAACGACTTCAACTACAGAGGTAAGGAGCCTCAGTCATTCCTAAAATGTACCCTTTTCAAGAGGAATTGACAGGCCTTTGCTACTTTTTTTTTCCATCCCCAGGTTTCTCCCATATTTATTCCCCTTTTAGACTACCTCCTTCATCCAGCACTATGCCTCCCACCATACAGGCCCCATTGTATACTCACTGGACTCCCTTTTCCTTGCAGGTAAAGATGCTAGGACTCAAAGGCAATCTGAAGTGGTCCAAAGATCCTGTTCAAGGCCTCCTCATTTCTTTGCCTCTGTTAGCACCTTCTGATTTCCCTGTTAAGTATGCTTGGACTCTCAAGCTGACAGGGGTGGAGTGATGATGGTTTCAGTTCCAGAGGAGAGGGACACTCCCTGCTGACTCCTGCTATATTGACTTTAGATGAAGAACAAGCCAAAGCCTCCTGCTGTCTCTGGGAGGCCATGGGCTGGGCCTGACAAGCTCAACCACATGCTAGTTATTTAGCACCACTTGTCCCCAACTCTTCCCCCACCCCTCCCAAAGGGTGGGGAGCCTGCAGGGGAAGGTGCTTCTGACCAGTTTCAGAGAAAAACTCTTCAATTCAATCTGTTTAAGAAAGTGAATGTGATTCTGCTGTGTGCCTTTTTAAATACGATGAAATAAGTACATTATATATCAGATTATTTCTGTCAAAAAGCATGTTGTAACTATTTTTCTAGCTTCAATGTGATTGTTTATAGTTTTATGAGCAGTCTAGTTTTTTGTTGGGTGTTCTGTTTTGTTGAAAGAAGCAGATTCTCCTCAGTATGGAACAAAGAAGGTGATCCCTTTGATTTTCCGCTCCTCAGTCTCATTCCACACTGACTACTGGTTCAGGCACTAAATACAGGTCTAATTGGGTTTCCACTGTCAACTTTTACTTAATAGATGTATTTCAAAAGCTTTTCATAACACTTTAAGGAACATGTTTTTCTCCAGCACATTTAGAACATATACAAATCTCAAATACCAAGAAGCAATACATAGACTATATAGTGTGTCTGCAACATAAAACTGAGAGACAGAAAAAAACTCCATGATTGGGAATTTTAAAACACATTTTCTAAATACTTATAATGATAACCAAGCATTATATATTAAAGCTTGTCTGATAGAAATACTAACAAAACAAACAATAGAACGATGGCACAAATATATTTTAAGAATGAAAGAGACACTTTGCAGATACTGCCAAGGTTAAGAAGAGAATAAAGAGCCCTGGTGGTGCAGTGGTTCAGTGCTCCACTGCTAACAGCTGTTCAAATCCACCAGCCGCTCCATGGGAGAAAGCTATGACTCCTGCTTCTGTAAAGATTGCAGCTGGGAAACTCGGTAGGGCAGTCCTACTTCGTCCTATGGCCATAATATGGATGGTTTTATACTAAGAACATTTTTAAAAAATTGAATGCATTCCTGGAAAATAGTAAGAAAAATGATTTAAAGAAAAATAAAAAACCTGAAAGTCCTTTAACATATATAGAAACTGAATCAGCAGTACATAATCTTCCCATAAAGAAAATACCAGACCCAGGCAGTTTACTGGTGAGCAAATTATTTCAGTCTTAAGCATCTTTCAGATAACAAAAAAAGTGAGGGGACACTTTCTTAACTCATTTTATAAATGCTCTATATTGGCAAAATATTGAATGATGGAGAAAACATTAAAAGAAGATGGAAGGATCTTGGGTGAGACCATGTGGGGGAAGGATCGGAGCAGCTACAGACGCCTGGTAGAACTGCTGAAATAAAGGTGTGGACATTATTTTCTTTTGGTAGCTGTTCATTGGTCCCTTGCTGTCTGCGCACCTCC